CGTCGCGGGTCGCTGCCCTGCGACCCTCGTTCACCGGACAGCGTGTTTTTAGAGGCTTATAATTCGCTGGGTGGGTACTTCTTCTTAAAAAAAAAGTTCAATAAATGTATTGATTTCAAAACACTGTTTCTGTTTCAAAACGTTATTTGGAATCCTTAACAAAATCCTCAGAGTTTAGTAGTTCATGAGCGGTGGGCTGTGCAAGGGTGAGCGTCACCGATAAATCAATTTTAGTTTCGATTTTTGGAATAATTTAAAATTATTAATAGCCGGGTTCCTCTTGTGTTCTCTAGTGAGCTTTTTGTTTCTTTATTCTGACTATTAACTGGTGAGAAAAGGAGAGAACGCAGAGGAAATGTAGCTACTTGTCATGCAAAGCTTGTAATTGCACATGGTGTATTTACAATCAGGCATCTGAAATACGGCCTCTTTGCATTTTTGTGTTTTGAGAGGATCTTGGTGGGATTTGAGGGGAAGAGGAGCAGAGGAATTTGCTCTGGCCAGTATTTCAGGCTGAATTTTTCAGTTTAAGATACTGAATTCACATGAGGTGGTAAACAACCTAAAAAAATAAGTTTTTTAATTTCAGTTCTAGTTAAAAATTCAGGAGCCTGACTTCTAGGCACTCAAGAGTCTGGTTAGAATCTCAGTAGAAAATGTTTTTCTCATTTGTATTTCTCTCTCCTCCCCCCCCCCCCCCCCCCCCCAATTTAGCGCTCTTACCTGGCCATATCTTTTTTTAGCTGTCAGTGTTCTTTGGCAATGCTTCAAAATTAAGTAGACTATTGACATCCTTTCAGGTAGATGTCATTTTTACCATTAAGTTGCTCTTTGCAACGTAGGTGATAGGCAGGCTTGCTGATCTATTTCTGTTTAAGGGTGAGTTAGTTTAGCTTGTTGGTGAGAGTCCTGGGAAATGTTTCTGACCAAATAACCAACGTTTTTTTTTTTAAACATTTTTAAAGTAATTGTTGTTTTCTGGCAAGCCCTGTTTTTGATAGACATTATGCGATAAATGTTATACAAATGGTAAATTTGGCACTGTGAAACTTTGCTAGCAAAATTCTCTGTCTTGCTTGTGTTTATTTTCTGGGTCCTGTCAGTAAAACCAAAACTACTGTTGGTGGATCCAAGGAACAAGTTCCTTAACAGTGTAAGATGTGCTGGTGCAGTTTCAATGGCACAGTGCAAATAAGCAGAATACTTAGGATGCCTGTAGAATACAGGTGTGCATCCTCTGACAGAGCTGTTCCTGCAGTAGTGTCCAGGCTGGTCGAACTGTTGAACTCTAGGGCTAAGAGATTCAGTGACTACAAATCTGACCCGTTTGCAATCCACCCATTTGTTGGGAAATTATTTTCTTCTTGCTCCTGCACCTTTGCAAGAATACTGACGTAGGTCTTACTCCAGCAAAAAATCCGCATAAATATGCTGTGTGTTTGCTTGGTCTAGGGAATGGATTCTGTATTCGCTTGGTCTTGGAAAGGATGAAGAGTTCTTTGAGAATAGAGATGTGTATTCCAGACTTGCAAGGACAATGTGACAGGTAGGGTATAAATGCTGATACCAAGCAAAGAGAAGAATGCTGCAGCTGTGTAGCCAGTTAAAGAACGGTTAAAGCCAATTAAAGAGTACAGAGAAGTGCTCTGGACTTCTGGATTTTTTTTTCTTTATATATGTCCAACTTAGTGTCGTATGAAGGAGGAACTGCATGGCTAATTTACCTCCAAGAGGAGATGTCGCCTGTTCAGAGAACTGTGTGCCAAGGAGGAGCCCTCTTGGGAGGGCAAATGGTGGTATAGGGCAGCAGGAAAGCCAGAAACTGTCTGAGGCCCTTCAGAACCCGAATCCTCAAATGAAGCAGAATAAAGGGACAGGGTCTTGAGCGTTTTATATAGCAAGCATTAATGAAGGACACTATGATAAATATGTGTGTGTGTGCATGCATGTTTATTTATATACAGATATATACACATATAAATCTTTTACTCAGTGTTCTCTTCATTTCAGTCCAATTCCTGTCCCCAAATAACAAATGAAAACATGGGAAGTACAGGTCATGGGTTAGGTCTTAGTGTGGCCAGGTTATATTAAGAGCTTTAGAAAAAAGTGGCAGTATTTGCAACGCGGACGGAGAGAGGACAGGAAAAAGCAACCCGGAACATTCCAAATACCTTTTTTTAGGTGTTGCTTTTTCCTCAGAATACATAATTTTACAGACAAACTGTCAGTTTGCAGCTTTTCAGTTTATCTGGATAAATACTTGGAATTTACATGCAGACCAGGAACTGACTAACTTTCGTATCACAAAGGTCGTGCGGAAGGTGCATTCTAAAGTGACTGGTGTTCAGATTTTCAAATCGAGGTTGTGATTTTTAGATGCTGGGGTTACATTTGGGAGCGGATGGATGTTGTGTGAGGTCATCTAACTGGTGCTGTTAAATGCTTTAGTTAGCTTGTAAGGAGATGCTCATGTTGCAGTTGGACAGTTGCAGAGGGAGTCTGTTGCTTGCAGAAAAGTTGTTTTATCCTACTTGAAAAAGCTTTTTTGCTGCTGTATCATGAAATTTTTCTAGGAGATAGTTGTAGTGACTTGGTCTGATCTGCAGTACGACCTTCTTTCACTCTATTCTGCAAGCGCAGAATGTAATTGCTGTCCATGTCTCACCTGCCAAAACCATTCTCAGTTAGTGTGTTACACCGCACTACAGGACAGGAAGAGGCTTGGTAAGAGCTTCAAGAAGGAAACTGTTCATACCGTAGAATTCTTGTGTTGCTGCTGATCATTCCTTCAAGATCTGGTTCCAGCACTTGGGACACATTTCATGAGCCTGAGTTCACTGTCCCATTGCCTGCGGTTGGTTGATGAGTACCCAGGACAGCTGGCCAACTCATGCACTGTTCTGTCCCCTGCCCCTCTCCTTCATAAATTTCTTTCTTCTGAAGAAGAAAGGGATGATTTGCCCTCATTTCAGAATGTAAAGAGACCTTCTATGATTTATTTGGTGCCTGTGGTTTGGAAGCAAGATAAAGACTTTGAAAAAAGGACAGTATAGGAGGTTATGGGACAGAACAGGAGAACTGGTGAGAATTCAGTGCCAAACTTACTGTTTGCTAACCATAAACTTGGCTAAAAGAATTCCAGTGAGGTTGTGCTCTAGAGAGTGATGCTGGGAAATCAAGATGTTTACATGGGATGCCAGTGTCTTTGACTGATGTTACTTGATTTGTGATGGTTCTATCTGCAGAGACACCCATGGGAACATTATAGTGAAGTGCTGCAATGTGCTAGCTGGAGTCATTCTGCTAAAATTTCATAGTGAAAACAGTTCCTTACAGTATAATGTCTAAATTACTTTTGAAAATAAGGCTATAGGAATTTATTTGATCAGAAACTTCTCTAACAAATGATGAAGTAATGCTGTATTCACAGACTATTAAATGTAGAATTTACGTCCTAATGAAGACTTCTAACTAGTTGTGGTGCTTACAATTTTAAAAGCACAAATAATTTGAAAATACATAAAATGCATTGAAGAAGAATTCTGGGTAATATTATGATACTTATTCCAAGTTTAATTTGCACACTGATTAAATAGAAACATCTGAGATTTGTAGGACTTCTTTGCTTTGGAGAATAAGCAGAACTTTTTTGTCTGATATTCAGGCAAAGGGGCAGAAATTACAAATGATAATAGTGATGCGTTTTTACTGTGTTCTGTACCGTAGGGTCTGTTTGGTGTTCCAGAACTGAGTTGTCCAGAAGGATTTCAAGAAGCACAGGACAAAGCATTGCAAGAATCAGAACAGCTGGTCCAGAAGGCATGTTCAACACCGCCTGGGCCTGAGATTGTAATGCTCTTTGATCAGCTTTCAGATGCTTTGTGCAGAGTAGCAGACTTGGTAAGTTACTTTTTTATTCCTTGAAGTATGCTTTTAAACTGACTTGTTTTAATGGTTTACCCTGTGTTGTTCTGTTTTATGATTTTCTGCACTGCAATAAATAGTAGATCAGCTCTATGAAATTCTGTATTAAGACAGAACATTAAAAAGGCCCACTTGAGTGAATGTTAGTTACAGAGGGTTTTTCTGAATGATCCCTAAAGAACTTAGGCGTTAAAAGCAGCAGCTAAAGCTAAATAGTGTTATCTTTTATTAATACGGAAAACAGTGCAATTGCATTTCCTAGGTTCAATGAATTAGAACGCTTGGTCTGACATTCTGTAAATCGCAATACATTCAGTTTTACTAAGGCCCTTTGTATTGCTCTATTAGAAACTGTTTGTCCTAAGCATATCTTTTAAAAAGCATCACTCTTCATTTGAAGAGAGCAGTCCCAGCCTTCATGCTCAGTTGTTAATAATTCTCTGAACATTTTGCCTTTGTTTTTCACTTTTTAATTTCTCTGCATGGTTTCAACTTTCAAATACTGTTTCTTATTCTTTTCTAGACTCGAGATCTCTTTGTTCCAGGCACTTTTTTCTCATGCAATACTTATGCATTCTATCAAGTCACTGTAATTTTTATATGGAGTACAATTAATTCCTCATTTTAATCTTTCGATATCTAACTAAAGCACGGATGCCAGAATTCATTTGTCATTGTTTTGTATCAGTCTTCCTGACCTAAAATTACCTCAGTTCCTCCTGCTTTCTGTTTTACACATCCAAAGATGGCCTATTTTTGCAGTACCCCATCTAGAAATTTGATGGTGATGTCCTGTTGGCAGGACTTTTTGAGATCTGCCGTTTAGCACGTACTCTGTCAGTATTACACAGGATTTTAAAAAGTCATTCCTTCCCTAAGAAGCGAAAGTCTTACGAGTATTACCTTTCTTTTCAGTCAAACTGCAATCACACTGTTAAACAAAGCTGACTGTGTTTCATATGCTTTCTGTAAAATCATGCTGAATGGCTTGGTGTATTCCTAATCTTTAGTTCTTCATCATTTGCAGCCCCAGAACCTTTGATTGCCTTGAATTCACATCAACAGTCATGGAAGCTGTTCTTCTTTATAGCTTTCTTCCAGCCTTCTGAGTTCTTCTAAATATTTGGAGACTTACTAAAAATCAGTATCGACAGGAGTGAAACAACAACCTATTCAAAATCCAAAAGAGCTTCTGGGTTTTCTTTTTAAACATATTTCTTCCTACTAGGTAGTGATCTCAGGGCTTAACTTGATGGTCTGTACGAAAGTTTGAAAACAATCCCTTTACACATATTTGGTGTTGTGCTGTCTTCTGAACTATGAAGTTTAGTTTTAAAAATGTTTTCTAATAATATTTAAAGACATCAGAGTATTTCTGTGTTGGAAGGACCGTTTTTGTAAGGTACACACCTTACTAAAATAATTTCAAGGAGTGTATGGGTTGAAAATATATTTTGGAAAGGACATTAAAACATGCACCATCTTGTTTAATAGTTATCAGCACAATTTCCCAGTAAGGTTAGTTTTTGAGAAAAAAGTTATGCATATAGATTGCACAGGACTGTAGAAAAAAGTGTTAATGTAAATGGAACAACTTCAAACTCCAACTTTATTTGTAAGACAAGATTTTTAATTTTTCTTCTTGCCTCACAGTTCTTTTCTTCCTTTTACCATGTCAGGCTGATTTTGTGAAAATTGCCCATCCTGACTTTGCGTTCAGAGAGGCTGCTGAAGAAGCTTGCAGGAACATTGGTACCATGGTAGAGAAGTATGTTTTCTTCTTTATTTTGCAATTACCATGTATGTCTTTTATAAATTAACTGTTCTATCCATTATGGTAATAGCAATCAAAAAAAAAAAAAAGAGGAAGTATTGGCATGTGAAAAAAAAATCACTCTTGTAGTTACGGGTATTTAAGGATTTAGCTTCATTGTGGGATCTCATAAAAGGTTATTCTATTTTGGTTTCAGTTTATATTCTGAAGAGAGTTTAAGTTATCAGCTGATTCCAAGTTGCTGGAGCCCATCAAACACTCAGGGCTACATTTTTCTAAGACTCATGACAGTTAACTAGCTATTGTGAAGCACGTGTAATGCTAATGTGGTTTTAAGATTGGAGTCTGTTTAATTCACGATACTTTTTCTCCTGGTATGCTGACGTCTTGAATCCCATTTCATGAGTGGGCTATGTGAAAGAGGAAAAGGACAGTTTTCCACTAAATAGTGTTTCTATTGTGTTGTCTAATAGTATTTCTATTTCTCAATTTCCTAAGTAGTATTTCCTAAGTAGAAATGTTATTTCTACTTAGGACTCTGATACATGACTGAGCTACCCTGACGTATATGTGTGCTCTCTTAAAAAGTCCATTTCATAGAAGACATTCTTAAAGTTGAAGTCTGGATTTTTTTTTTTTTTTTAATCTCAAAATCTGTTCCTGAAAGTTGCCTCTGATGCTCTTGGTCATTTACCTCTCTTTTCTTTTTGACTTTTGAGAAGGTGGAAGGGAGTGATCTTTACTCCACATATACAGTGTCCTTTCAGAATTTTGGTGTCTTCCCTTTCCACGGCATTTGGGAATAGCCTTCTTAAGTGAAAGCTTTGCCAAGCAGCAGTGTGAAGGTGACCCAGACTGCTGCTTCTCTCAGGATTCCTAGTAAGAGAGGAGGGAGTGATGGTTCAGCTGATGTCCCAAAGTAAGTTGTAGGGGCAGTGAGGCCTTCTGCACTCTGTGGAGGACAGCAGTGCATCAGTTTGTTTGGTAAGCTTTATGACTTAAATGGCTGGCTAAAAAAAGAAAGAATTCTAAGAATTCTAATTCAGCAGAATTTGTTACTTTAGCCTTACCCACATGTTTGGGAAGCCTTTCGCTCAGAGTTGGATTTTTTTCCAAGATTTAAAGGTTGAGCATGCGATCTATAACAATATGACCTTAATATCTGAATGCTACTTCAGACTTAGAGTTTGTAGAAAGAAGAAAAATATTTACAAATTAATCTGAATTTCGTGGATTTATAAATTACTACACACGTACAGAACTAGCTGTTGCTGAATGTTCCTTTTCCTGGGCAAATGGTACCCCTGAGGAACTACTCTTGTTTAAGAAAAAGACTTTGATTTTGACATTTTGGAGAAGAGATGACTGGGGATAATCTGATAAGAATTCTGCAGAATCACAAGTAGATTGGATGGGGGAGGATAGTAATCAGTTGTTCATTGGCTCTTCCAAGAAAAGAATTAGTGGAATGCAGATTGAGAGCAAAGGAAAAGAGATGCTTTTTCATACACAGTCCCATGAAACTGTGAGACTTCTTGGAAATGCTGCGTATGCTAAATTTTTCTTTTTCTGTTTTGAGTTCAAAGGAAGACCAGTAACATTTATGGAAGAGTGATTAGTTGAAGATTACTAAGTACATAAAAACCTTATCTGGCTCGTGATGTCTCTGAGTCATAAATGGATGGAGGCTGAAAAAATACTTGGGACAGTATTATATATGTTTAACTCATTTTAGTCACTTCCGTGGGTATCTGCTTTTGGCCACTTTTTGGCAGGGTGCTGGATTAGAGGGACCTTTAGTGTGACCTGGTATGCTTTTTTTTCATATGTTCTTATTTAGCCCCTTCGATATGGGGCCTTTTCTGAAGCACAGGCGTGATGTGATGCCTTCATTCTGTCCCTGAACTGTGTGTTGGTAATTACTGAGTACATTTCACAAAGAGGGTTGCAGAAGCTTTCTCTACCCCGGTTGATTTAAGAAGTTAGTGCTCAGATCTACCAGGGTGGGGACTGCTGTCCCTCACAAGTCTGCTGGTGTCTGTGCAAGTGTTTGGTTCCCTACGCTAGATCTGACCAGATAATCCTGGTCAACATATGTGCTTGTAAGAAATGTGCCAGCAAATCTGATGGAAGTGGTATTCTCTGGCATAGGGGTAGTGATGAACAGCTGGAAACGTTCTGGGGATGGTAAGCTCTTACTCTGCTCTGCTCTTTCCTTTAATGGAATTGGAGGCCTTTCACAGTAAGGATTAGAAAGCAGTTCTCCCACCTGTGTGCCCTAACTGTGCTTTTCATTGCACACAGAAAATAAGCTGCCACTCTTAGACTTGCTCGTGTTTCCACAAAATGCATCCAAAAGTATTCTGCTATTGTGAACTCGAGACCTGCTTCCATGCTAGTTTGTCTGTGCTTATTTGTATATTAATTTCGCAGTTTTTAAGTGTGGTTGTGAGCTAGAAGACATTTTAAAAATGCTGTCCTTGGTTTTGAATGTTACTTCAATAAATATTAAGCTCTGCCTGTTAATTAGTAATACCAAGAGATTTGAAGTATTAGTGTTTGTTGCTAATGCATGATTCTTCTACTCTGTATCTTTCCAGATTAAATACGGATGTTGAACTGTGTCAGAGTTTGAGACAGCTGCTGGCTGATGAAGTTGTTACAGATTCCCTAGATCCAGAAACCAGGCACTTATTAATACTTATACCTGTAGCTGTTTAGATAATTCAAATCATTCCTTATTGTGTTTGTGCTTTGTGTTTTGTTAAATTGATACAAGGCCTCTGTTATTGATTTAACTTTATTATTCACTACAAAATACCTGTACAAGAGTTAGGAAGTTCACAGTTTTGCAGTCGTGGAAGATGTGTCTCTGACTATAGAGCGTGAGATATGTTTAGGTTGCATTGCTGAGATGGCAAAAATGAAAAATGAGACTGTAAGATTTTCTGTAGTTAAAATAAGGTGCTCTACTGTAGTATCTATATCAAACAAAGTAAGTATTTAACAGGACAAATAGGGAATAGACTATATAATTTGATTTCAGTTTATACAAACTGAAATGAGAGGGTTTCTTTATTCATATATCAGATATTACTCCTGTTTTAGTCTAGAATGCACTAGAAAATTTCATAATACATAACACTATTGTTAATATTTCGGAAAAATAAAAATTCATTTATTCATTCAATTTGTGAGATGCTGCAAGCTTAATTTTCATCTTTCAAAATCAAATTATAGGTGTATTCATTTAAAGCTTTCTTTATGGTTGCTGTAAAACACTTTAACTGCTGCTTATTCAGTTATAGATTTAAATTATTTCTTCCTTGACATGATAAGACTAGCTTAATGCCTCAGGTTTGCCTGTGTTAAGAGTAAGTTACTTCCTTCTTCTTTAACCACAATCAGGGATATTAGATTTGAAGGGCTCTTTTTCTAATCTGCTAGAATAAATGAAGGGTCAAATTAAAATGTTAATTTGCATAAATTAGTTAAACATACACATTAATATAGTAGAATTATTTTGAAAGTTATTTGCAATGCAGATGACAAAGGAAAAATACTATATCATTGAGTAAACTGTTAAGGGAATAAAACATAGGAAGTCCGTGTCCATAACAGATACGCTGATATAACGGTTGGAATAAGTAATTTTATTCTCTGACTCAAGCCAAAGTATAGACTGTAAAAGACTTTGGACCTAAGTAACTGCTAAAGGTAAAAACTGTTAAGAAATTGTTTGCTATGAAATAAGGCTGTTTTAACAGGGATTTACTGTATTTTCAGGCGAGTGGCAGAACTTTTTATGTTTGATTTTGAGATCAGTGGCATTCATTTGGATGAAGAAAAGGTAATTTTTGGCTACTTTATATGAATAGATGTTTGCCTGACTATCAAAGACCAGATAATGAAACATGCAGGACATGATTTGTATGATTCTGTGCCAGTTTGTCCCCTGAGATTCCCATTGACCTTAGTAAAATTGTGTCTTCTCAAAAGCTAGTTGATTTTGTCTATTTAAATCACTTCATGTATATGTTTATGTTGTCTTAGATACTTATTGGCTGTTCATTTCCCGGTTTGGCCTCAACACGCCTTTCACTGTTCAGGACGGTTATAAGCCAACCTGGGAACCTGCTTCTTTTGGCTGGTGTCTGCATCAGATATTTTAAGTAACTGCATAGTTGTCTGAACAGCTCTTTCACAGAGGGGATAATGCAGCACCCCATGTGCTGTGATGACAGTCTAATCAAGTAGCGTATTTTAGAAAGGATCAGTATAGTCGAGGCCATCCCTTTGGTGCTTACATAACTTGAAGTTATAAATTTCATCCACCTCGAATGTCTGGGCATGGTCTGATACCTCTTTTGGAGTTCTTTATTCCTTTTTGCAATAGTTAATGATAGATTTGCCAAAACCAGCAGCTTTCATCCTGTTTTATGGTATGGGTGCTTTGTGGGATATCTGTTCATAGCTTGTGTGTCTGTATAAGGTAAATACCTTATTTGTGAGTCATCTCTCCAAAAAGAGATGAGCCTATACAAAGGCTCTTTTACCATACTAGATTTAAGTGATAAAATCACTCTGAAGAGCATTGTTCTGATGGTGATTTGCAACCTGGAAAATGCTTCTAGAATGATTTTCTTAACAATTTCTTTGTAGAAATAGCTCAAAACTTGGACTTTGGATTTTATTTCTGATTTATCGTCTTTTCCTATGACTATTAGCTTTATGATACTTAATGCCCTCTCAATTACTGCTTCCCTTGCCCCTTATAGTTTGCATATTTCCTTCTTCCTCCCTTGCGTATTCCACTTTTCATCTTCTATTACTTGCCACTCAGTGTTTCTTTTCTCTCTCATTTCAGACTCCAGACTCCCATCACTGTCTAAGTTGAAAACTTATTTTCTCTGCTATAAAGAGTGACTTTTTCTGCTATAAAGAATTTCTGCTTTTTATAATAAAACTGAAGATGTACTTAAATAATAAGGGTGGAAGGGGAGGACTGAGATCTTCAGGTTTTGCCATTCTTTTTACTTTACAAGTATGTTGTATCTGTTACCCAGCCTTTTCTTTTGAACTATCCTACAGACAACAGAGAGCATACTTAACTGACATGAGCAAGTCCACTGAAGTAAATGAGGTATCCTACAGTAAGGTTAAACATCTGAAATATTGGCATGATGGAAATAAGACCCTAAATTATCACATTCTCAGGGAGAAGTTGAAATATCATAAATGCATTACTGTTTTCAGAAAATAGTACAATACAACAGTAACAAGAGAACTCTAACTCTGTATCTACTTAGATTTATTTAGGATATTATTAGGATTTATCCATTTTGAGGATGCTCTTTTTTCTCCTCAGTGTTTTACAGGGCAGTCAGATTAGGGCATCATTTTATAAGTGCTTACCGAGTAGTTAGCAAAGCCTATCGTGCATTTTTCTTACTGCAGAAATATAAGCATTTTCTTTCAAAATGCAACCCTATATGAAATTACACATCTGTATGTGCATCTGATCTTTCTCTCCTGTTAACTTCAGCCCTCCATCTGGATTTTGTTCTTGCCGCAGGTCTAATTGTAAACATACTCTTTTCTACCTCACTTCTGGAAAATTTCTTTTAAGATTTTGGAAGCTTTGAGGCCTGCTTGTACTATATCTGAAGATGTTGTACTTTGTATTTCTTACAGCGTAAAAAGGCAGTCAACCTCAACATCAAAATACTGGATTTATGTAATGAATTTCTGACAGGAACTCACCTTCCCAACAGGATTGACAAACATGTTTTGCCAGAGCACATTCGGTATAATTTTACAGCTGAAGGCGATCATTTACAAGTTGCTGGTCTACATGCTGACTGTCCCGATGATCTGGTGTGTATTCCCTGACTCTCTTATAGCATGCTTTATAGTAAAGGTGCAAATCAGTTATTTTGATTGTTATTGAAGCAAATGCTTATGGTTTATGATTGTGATGTTTTGACTAACAAGGAAAGTTTGTTGGGGACATGATAAATGGTGGCAGCCTTGGCTGTAGCAACTGTGAAATAGTGAAGTTGAAAATCCTAAAAGGAGTAAAGAAGCAGAATGCAGACCCTGAACTTCAGGCAGTCAGACTTCAGCTTATTCAGGAAGCTGGCAGGTTGGATCCTGTGAGAGGCAGCTCTGGAAGGTAAAGTAGCTCAGGAAAGCCGGCAGGTCTTTAAAGACAACATCCTCCAAACGCAGGAATGGTCCATCCCAATACTTGAGAAGAAAAGCAGATGTATCGGAAGCCAGGCGTGGCTAAGCAGGGAGCTCATGGCAGAGTTCCATCTCCAAAAAGTAGTATACAGGAGGTGGAAGCATGGACAGGATACAAAGGAGGAATTTAGAAACATTATCTGTGCGTGTGGGGATGGTGTCAGGAAAGCTAAAGTTCGACTGCAGTTGAGACTTGTAAGGGATGTCAATGACAGCAAGAACTTCTACTGCTACATTAGCAGTAAAAGGTTGAAAAAGGAAAACTTGGGCTCAGTGCTGAGCGGAGTGGGCAGCACGGAGACAGCAGACCGCAGACAAGGCTAAAGCGCTCATTGCGTTCTTTGCCTTAGTCTTCACTGACAAGATTTTTCAGGCCCCTGTGCTTAGTGAAAGGATTCAAGGAGGAGAATAACCAGCAGTAGATGAGGATCCGGTCAGGGATTACACGAGATAACTCAACCCCTAGAAGTCCATGAGATCAAATGGGCTGCATCCAGGGGTGCTGAGAGAACTGGCTAATATCCTTCCAAGACTGTTCTCTATCACCTTTGATAGGTTGTAGAGATCAAGGATGATCCCTGATGGCTGGAAGAACTAATATGTTCCATCCATCTTCATGTTCCAGAAAGGCCAGTAATCTGGGGAAGTACAGGCTGTAGCTTGACTTTGGTCTGTGGGAAAATGATGGAGCAAGACCTCTTGGAAGACACTCTTGGGCACATGAAGGAGAAGGTGGTGACTGGGAGCAGTCATCATGGCTCTACCAAGGGCAAATCATGCCTCATCAATCTGAATGCCTTCTATGATAATGCAACTGGGTACGTGGGCAAGAGGACAGGGAGCAGTGTATGTCATTCACTTTGACTTTAGCAAGACTTTTGACACTGTCTCCCACAGTATGCTTGTATACAAGTAGGACATTACAGTCTACCTCAAAAAACTAGGTGAGTAAAAAACTAGTTGGATGGTCAGGTTCAGAGGATAGTGATTAGTGCATCATACTCTACCTGGAGGCTGGTAAAATAACTGGAGGATTGCAGGACGTCTATCCTGGGACCCGTTCTGTAATGACCTAGAGGAGGCAACAGAGTGCTCAAACATTAAGTGTGCAGATAACAGCAAACTGGGGGAACAGTGATGCACTAAAGGGCAGGGATGACGTTCAGAGGACTCTAGGCAGGCAAGGGGAACGGTCCAACAAGAACTTTATGAAATTTAAGATGGAAAAATGCTGTCCTGCGCCTGGGATAGAAGAACTCCTGACAGCAATACAGGCTGGGGAATACCTGGCTGAGGAGCAGCTCTGCGGAAAAGGCCCTGCAGGTCTGGTAGATGGCAAGAGCTGAGCATGAGCCAGCAGTGTGCCCTGGCAGCAAAGAAGGCCAGCAGCATCCTGGGCTGTATGAACAAGAGCAGAACTAATAGCTATAGAGAAGTGATTATTCCCATTTACTCAGCAGTTATTGGCACAACACATATAATACTGTGTCCAGTTTTGGCTCCCCCAGTGCAAGAAGAATGTTGACAAACTGGAGCGAGTTCAGGAAAGGGCCACTGAGTTGGTCAGGAGCTGGAGCAGTAGCAGCGTGAAGAGAGACTGAGGGTGCTGGAGCTGGAGAGACTGGAGAAGAGATGACTTTGGGGGGCCTGACAAGCAGCTTACCAGGACCTTTGAGTAGGCCATGGAGAAGACGGAGCCAGACTCTTCACAGTGGTACATAGCGAGAGGACGAGTGACAATAGACAAAAAATTGAAATGAGAAATTCCAACTAGAAAAAATTCCTTGACAGTGAGGACGCTCAAGCAGTGGAACAGGCTCATGCATTCTCTCTGTCCTTGGGGGTTTTCAGGTCTGATGCACTAAAGCGTTGTGCAAGCTGTTCTTACTCATAGCTGACCCTGTTTTGTGTAGGAAGTTGCACTACAGACCTCCTGAGGTCCCCTTCCAGCCTGAATTTAGTAATTGCCGTTGAATGTTTTCTTGAAAGAATTTGATTAGAGTTACTTTATAAACTGGAAATTAATTTAAATATGACAGTGTTTCCTTAGTCGTTGAGATGTGACTCAAGGATCAGGAATGTATTGTAATACTTAAAGGTTGGGTTTTCACTTGGATATAGTAATTGGTTAAAATGACTGTAAAATCTTGTTTGTCATGAAAGAGGAAAAAAGGTGACTGCGGTACAACTCAAAACGATGTCATGTGTAATCTTTGTAGGAAAGTAAAATTGAATTAAAAATTTGACGTTGATAGGATGTAAATAAGGGAGTAATACTCATTACATACTTATTACTACTCTTGTAGTCTTGAAAATAGTGTGATCTGCCGAATTGCTGTTGAAGCTAAGAATAATACCTTAATTAAAGTTTACCGTTCTCAGAGTCAGATATTTGGAGGAGCTCTTAGGTTGAAGGGACCTCTAGAGGTCATCTAGTCCAACCGCTTGCTTAAAGCATGGTCACCAGCTCAGGTTGCTCAGGGCTATGTCCAGTCAAGTTTTGAACAGTTCCAAGGAGGAGAATTCCACAACCTCTCTGGGCGACCTGTGCCAGTGTTTAACCACCTTCACTATGACTTTTTTTTCCTTGATTCTGTGACTGGAATTTCTCATCTTCCAGCTTGCGTCCATTGCATCTCATCTTCTTGGTGTGAACCTCCAAGAGCCTGGTTGCATCCTCTCCATGCCCTACCACTAAGTGGTTGAAGATTAAGATCTCCCCTCAGCCTTTTCTGCTTAAGGCTGGACAAACCCAGCTTTCTCAGCTTCCATTCTGTGTCAGCCCCCAAGCATGTTGGGAGCCTTGCACTGGGCTTACCAAACCCTACTCCCGTATGTCAGGTGTCTGACAAGCAAGTAGAAGAGAATTATAACCTCCGTGGACCGTTTGCTATACTCTGGCTAATAGATCTCGATATACTGCTGGCCTTTGCTGTAAAGACACGCTTCTGAATCTTGTTCAAGAAAGCTAGGACTGGTATCTGTCTTGCTTGCCTTTTTTATCTCAAAGCCCAGTTGCGGTGAACAGGTAGGAAATGACTGTGAAATGAGTGGCAGGTAGCAGAGAGAGGGACTGCAGACAGGAGGAGGGAGGAAGAGCCTCTTCAGGCAATCTGAAACAGTTAGGTTGTCTCACTGCATTTCCTCATTCCCTTTGCAATGGAAAAGAGAGTGGTAATTGGCAGGCAGTCATAATTATCATTTAAAAAAGAAAATTTTATGTCTTTTCGTAACAATATCAGTGAAATACAGTTGTAATGCGAGATCTTTTATTGCTTTACTTGTTTCCTTTGTGAATTATGCTGTAGGGATGTGACCTTTTTATTTTTTCTTATTAGGTGCGAGAAGCTGCTTACAAGATTTTTCTTTACCCGAATGCTGAGCAGCTGAGCCGTTTAGAAGAACTGCTTGCTAGCCGAAACAGTCTGGCACAGTTGGTTGGATATAACACCTTTGCCCACAGGGCTCTTCAAGGAACAATGGCCAAAAATCCAGGTAGAAGATGTGTGATAAGATATGCTGAGAAATGAAATGCACTGTGTTAGGCATGAGGGTAAACTGTTAGTCTGTTTTGCTAAACTTACAGAATGTGTTTCTTGCAGTGAAATATCTTATTGCAGTTATGTTTTGCTATATGAAATACTTGTGTTTCTGTAAATGGCAATACTAGCTGAGTAGGGACCAGAGTTTTTTTCATCCAGAATCAGTCTACTCCTTACATAATGAAGTTGCCATTATCCCAGCATCTAGCAAAGTAAATGAGGTACTTGCATAGTCTCTCGAATGATGGCACAGTGGTCTACAGCGTAGCTAAAATTTCTTATTCTAAGGGATCTTGTTTTGCTTGGGATGTTTTGATGTAAACTAACACCTTCTGAAGGAAGGAATCACTTTTTTTTTTCCCCCCTCATTTTATTTCTAGAGACAGTAACACAGTTTCTGGAGAAGCTTTCTGACCAGTTGTCTCAAAGGTGTGTCTTTTCCACTAAGTAATTACTCTAATTGCACTTTTATTTCAATAATAGAGAGACTTATGCACTAACAAGTGAGTCAATACTGCTTATTATATACTCTGATGGAAAGCAGAAGTAAAAAGTAGGACTTATATCTGAGTTTTGAGAGGAACTATCAGGCAAGAATAAATTCTGAGGTATGAGCAGAGAACACCCAAAACTGGCTGCAACAAGTGATGTGCCAATAAATGCGGGTGTGACTGCAAAGCAGGCAAGAGAGGGTTGGATACCAGCCAAGAGAGACGCTCAGAGTTTGTGAGAGGTTAAACAGCATAGATTTAATAAAGAACTTACCCTCCAAGATGCATGAGGAGCCCCAGGAACTGCGCAGAGGGTTGCCAATGAGAGGCTGCTGGATGCCCGGGTCAGATGCCCAGGTTGGACGCCCAGGCAGGACTCAGCTCGTATCCTAACGGCCCCTTAAATATACTAGAACTGTTTCCTTATCTCAGCTGTGCTAACCTTTAGTATATTCTGTCTGGTAAGCAGCTAGACTTTATTGACAAAACGGAATATGCATGCCTGGCCCAAACGGGAATATAGTCAGTGTAGAGTTTCACATGCTGGGGCTGCTATTGCATGCTCTGCCAGTGACTGACTTCTCGCCAGATCTTCTGCAGGTGTTCTCACTACAGCGGGCAACAGCAGACAGGAAAACTGGGTTTAGTTTTGAAGTTCTGACACACCTTTTCTAGTCTGCTCCCATGTGCATGCTTCACTGTATTTTCTGTCTATGAAAATTTCCCTGGTTGTCTTGCTTGCTTCCTTTAATTCCGCACAGCACAAAGAGTTTCATCACTGTATATGGATTAGGTGTATTGTAAGAAAGAAAACACTTTGGAAGTGCATGACCAGTGTAAGTGGGACTTGATTTGAAGGCATCTGAATGAGAGAAGCAGAAAGGAAAGTACTTTTACTGTAGTATATTGGCCCATAATTACACAGAGTTTAAACTGTCTTTGATGATAGATATTTTCTTATGACAGAGCGTTCTCACATACTGTATTCCATTGCTCAAAAAACTTTAATGAATGCTTTCATCGTAAAAATGTTTTTCAGAACGCAAAAAGATTTTGAAATGATGACAAAGATGAAAATGAAGCTTAACCCCCAAAATTCAGTAAGTTAAATCTTCCTGTGTGGTTTTCTGGCTTTTTTTTTTAAAAGTATAGTATAAGTTAACCTTGTTCTACATTTAAAAAAAAAAAAAACCTCAATTTTGGTGTACAACATATAGCAGAATACAGAGAGAAACTTTCCATCTTCTGGCTTCAAATGCTTTTTGATTTCTTAGCTGCTATTAGTATTAAAACCAAACATTGAGTGTGAGATAGCTGTTGGTTTATACAAAGTGATACTGTGCTAGCCAAAACTTAAAGTGGTGAAAGTGAATGTTACTTTGTTTTGAATTAGTTAATGGACTCACTGAAAAATAAGGGCTGTACTTCAGAATAGGTGCATGTCCAGTTTGCGTGCCAGCTTATATGCATCCTAATTCTGTTCGTAACTATGTTTATTTTTCTATTTTAATTGTGTGTGTTTCTTGAAATCTGATATGCAGTCACATATGTATTTGAACAAGAAATACCATCTTCAAAAAGACTAAAATATAGGATTCAAATTGTGGCATGTGATGCTATTTCCGATGATGATGTATTTAGCACTGAATGTTTCTCATTATGTTTTAAAGTTCTGTGTCTCGCAGAAACTATGAAATATGCAAAGGAAACAAAACATTTAGTTTGGGTTCATTTGCTGTCTGTTATTGTAATTATAAAATGGAATTCTCTTTCAGAAATTGATGCCATGGGATCACCCTTACTACAGTGGTGTCCTACGAGCTGAGAGGTAAGCTTGTTATGTTTACGATTGTAATGTAAATGAGTGTCTATATTTCATCTCTTACAATAAGGAGAAGGACAGTCCACAGTGTAAACAGGATTTCCCTCTTTGAAGATGTACTTCAATATGAAAAAATAAAGAATATCTGAAAGGGCAGTTACCTGTAACATTTCTTAGTTACTGTTGGAATGCCTGTCGAAGTTCTTGGCTCCTCTGTTGTTTTACACGGAAATTTTGGCACTCTCTGAAGATATGAGAGGACAGAACCTACAAAATCCTCATTCTAATTTTGCTTTTAGCTCTTAGCTGAACTACAGTAATGTTTAGAAATAAATTTTGGTCACTGAATGCAATCCAGCTCCTCTTCATATTATTACTGTATGTTGCTTCTTACTGAATTTTCACCTATCTTTCCCTGCCACAAACTTGAAATAGAAACTTCTTGAGTAGATTTTCACTGTTTCACTGAGTGGAATGCATTCTCATCTATCCTGCAAGGATGAGGGGATAAATCCACAGCCCAGAGCCCAATAGTGCTCCAGAATTTTGTACATAATGAGATACCAAACTGTGAAAGTCGTGAGCCCTGCATGTTGCCTTTATTAGATCAGCAGTGATGACCTTTTTGATTTGCATTGTAAAAGATACTTTAAAGTTGTGTTTCACTCACAAGAGGGGGGGAAATTTTGCCCTCACTGCAGATTTGTAGGTTTTTGTTTTTTAAACAAACTTAGACTGGAAGTGTCTACTTAAAGAAGTTTACTCTGGATCGGAAATGTGTGATAGTGTAAACATGGCATTATGGAAGCAGTGCCAGCAATTGGCCTGGCTGTTTCACTGCTTTCTTGTACTTCGGCACTGAGAAAATGGTTTTATAAGCAGCAGCTCTTAATGTTGGATTTCTCTAAGCTACTGTATGCTTGGGTAGCAGTTGAATGGTGCTACATGTACACAGATCATGTCCTGGGTGCACAGAACTTGCTGTGCAGTGGAGCTCGAGCGATGTTCATTGTAGTCAGTCCAGGAACATGCGGCACTCCACAGTATGTACATATATTACCACTTTAGGATGTGGCGTGGGAGTGGCTGCTTTTCCTTTAAATTAGACAGGTAACAAACTATTTCTATGAACATAGGAACAAAATAGTGGTTATACCGGAGGAGATTCAAGGTCCATTTAGCTCCAGATCCTATCTTAGTAATGGTAAATAGCAGTCTGTGGAAGAATATTGTGATGCTTATTCAAAATACCGTCCTAACTTGTGGCTGAGGATTTCCTTTGCCTTGCCTGTACTGTATCTTCAAAACAGAGAATAAGAATTATGTTCTGATACATCGTCCTTGCCATTACCCTCAAATATTTATAAACTTTTATTTTCCACGTTTTAAAATGAAATTGGCATGATTTACCTGAAATTTAAGAAGTGAATATAAGAATTTTTATCTCCTCAATTTCTTCATTAAAGCACCTATTTTTAGTAATACCTGAATTTTTTTCTAGATTCTTCTGGAATGCTGGAATTAAGATTGTGTTAATAAAAGTTATGAGGAATATGTACATATATGCATTTCCTATAGTGTCTGCTTTCCCTGTTTACAGGGAATTAGTATGTGCCATAAAGGTTAGATCTTTAAGTGTAAAAGGCTCAGTGCTTGTTTTTCTTACTGGGAGGACTACTGTTTTATTATCCTTCTTATATCTTCTAGTGAAGCTGATCGTATAGTAAATGAGTTGTTGATGGTCACAAATATATTATTCTGCTCATTTTGGCACTGGGAAGAAAAGTATCTCCTTTCCTCATGGGGCTTTGCAAAGGACAAAGTGAAGTTACTTTGTTTTAAGAACAGCATGGTAGTCTTCATGAAGTACTGCTATGTAAATGTGACTCCATATTTGTGACTTTCATATTTACACTTACCTATGTTTACCCACACCCTTTCTTAAATGGCCCAAGAAAGCTCTGATATCCTCAGGTCAACTTTTTTGTAGCTGGAAGATGAGAACCATATGTGTCACATAGCTTTACAGTACTAGGAGTTTGACTGGCTATTTGTTGTTACTGTCTCTTTCTGCTTGAGCTAATTATCATGTAATATAAAATTATTTCTAATGTAGTTTTCCCTGGGGGGAGGGGGTTGTGCTGAAAAAATCATTTAGAATTTCAAATTTTCTTTTGTAGTATCATGTTTTATATAAATTTTATAAAAAAATAAACTAAGTATATTTAATTATAAAGTTTATTTTCTTGTAACATGGAATGACAAAATAGGGAAACATGTCTTGTCTGCAAACCTGTCCTCTCTCATATGAGGAAAGGCTGAAAGATCTGGGACTATTAGTTTGGAGAAGAGAAAACTGAGAGGAGATTTAACCACTGTGTATAAATATCTGAAGGGAAGATGTAAAGAGGACAGGGCAAGGCTGTTCTCAGCGGTGCCCAGTGACATAAGAGGCAGCAGGCAAAAACTGAAATACAGGAAGCTCTATCTGAACATAAGGAAAAACTTTTTTACTGTGAGGGGTGACTGAGCACTGGCCCAGGTTGTCCAGAGAGGTTATGAAGTCTCTATCCTTGGAGTTGGTCAAAAGCTGTCTAAACAGGGTCCTGGGTGACCTGCTCTAGGTGACTGTGCTTGAGCACAGGGGTGGGACTAGATGATCTCTAAAGATGATCTCTTACCTCAACTATTCTGTGATTCTTTGACCTCTGGAGATCAAGTAGTCCAGTCCTCTTGCTCATGCAGGATCAACTCGAGCTGTTTACCGTGGACCATATCAGGAGAGGTACCTGAGGAGTGGAAGAAAGCCAGTGTCATCCCAGTCTTCCAAAAGGGCAAGAAGGAGGAGCCAGGAAACCACAGGCCTGTCAGCCTCACCTCCATCCCTGGAAAGGTGATGGAACAGCTCATCCTGGAGGTTATCTCTAAGCATCTGGAGGACAAGAAGGCAATCAGGAGCAGTCAGCCTGGATTCACCAGAGGGAACTCATGCTTGACCAATCTGATAGCCTTCTATGACGGAATGACTGGCTGGGTAGATGAGGGGAGAGCAGTGGCTGTTGTCTGCCTGGACTTCAGCAAGGCTTTTGACGCTGTCTCCCATCACATCCTCATAGGCAAGCTCAGGAGGCGCGGGCTGGATGGGTGGAGAGTGAGGTGGATTGAGAACTGGCTGGATGGCAGAGCTCTGAGGGTTGTGGTCAGTGGTGCAGAGTCTAGTTGGAGGCCTGTAGCTAGTGGTGTCCCCCAGGGGTCAGTCCTGGGCGCAGTCTTGTTCAATGTATTCCTCGATGACCTGGAGGAAGGGACAGAGTGCACCCTCAGCAAGTTTGCTGATGATACTAACCTGGGGGGGAGTGGCTGACACACCAGAAGACTGTGCTGCCTGTTCAGAGGGACCTGGACAGGCTGGAGAGGTGGGAAAGCAGCTCTGCCGAGAAGGACCTGGGAGTGCTGGTGGACAACAAGTTGACCATGAGCAATGTGCCCTTGTGGCCAAGAAGGCCAAGGGTCTCCTGGGTTGCATGAGGCCGAGGCCCAGCAGATGGAGGGAGGTGATCCTCTGCCTCTGCTCAGCCCCGGTGAGGCCACCTCTGGAGTACTGTGTGCAGTGCTGGGCTCCCCAGTACAAGAGAGACATGGAGCTCCTGGAGAGAGTCCAGCGGAGGGCTGCAAAGCTGAGGGGCCTGGAGCATCTCGCCTCTGAAGAAAGGCTGAGGGAGCTGGCCTGTTTAGCCTGGAGAAGCGAAGACTGAGAGGTGACCTGATCAATATGTACAAGTATGTGAAGGGAGGGTGCCGAGAGGATGGGTCCAGACTCTTCTCCGTGGTGCCCAGTGAGAGGACAAGAGGCGAGGGGCACAAACTGCACCACAGGAAGTTCCATCTGAACCTGAGGAAAAACTTCTTTCCTGGAGGAGGGTGTCAGAGCACTGGCACAGGTGGCCCAGAGAGATTGTGGAGTCTCCTTCCCTGGAGATCTTCAAAACCCGCCTAGACACGATCCTGTGCAATGTGCTCTAGAGGACCCTGCTTGAGCAGGGGAGTTGGAGTAGATGATCTCCAGAGGTCCCTTCCAAACCTGGCCATTCTGTGATTCTATAGTTGAGTTGCTTGGGATGGTTACCTGCACTGGTTCAGTCTTGTATATCCTGAAGTTTTGTGTGGAAAAAATGCTTCTGTGAATGATTAGCCAGGAGGAATTGTTAGAGAGGAAAATAGCTGTCCTGAGGCTCCTTAAAGGTTAAAAAAAAAAAAAAAAAGTTGCTTTTAAAGGTTTCAGCACACACAGAATTGCCCAAGTCTTTTTACTTTTCCCACGTTTGTGCCTTACTACTTACTGTGTCAGTAAGGAACTTGAATTTTATTATGTCCTTTTTCAAAATGTAAGCAAACATTAGACAAAGTAATTCTGGTCTAATCTTTTACTTTTTCCGTAGTTCTCCAGATTTTGATCACCTACATCAGTTTGTCTCAATTGAACTGAAACTCATGACTTATTCTGAAAAATTACGTCTTCTCAAACATTTATTTAATGTGTTTATTCTATACTAGAACAGTATTAAGGCAACAAGCTTTTGTCAGATACCTCAGAATTAGTTTTACGAGATGGATATTATATTCTGAAGAATAAAGAATGTTCACATATGTTTAGAGTACTGAATTCTAAGGACATTTACTGTCAAATCAGTTGTCTGTTTTCACTCTTTGTTTCTGCAGCTGTTACTGAACATTAGTGCTGTTTTGTGTTTTGAACAGCGGGAGGAGCTCCAGACTCAATTCACAGAGTATGTTTTTCGTTTCTATAAACTCATCCATAATAATTTTCTTTCTGTCAGCTTTCAGCAAGTCTTTTCCCTAGAAACTTGATCCCACTTCAAAAACAGAAGTCTTCTATTGATGGTAGCAGGATAGTTTACTTCAAAAAATTTCTTTTTAATGATGTTAAATAGCCTCTCTGGCTTTAAACCCACGTTTATAAAAGCTTAATATTTTTGTAGCTATAG